AATCACAATTTAAAAATCTCACCTTGCTGAGGCTCGGGCGGCTGAGGTATATAGTAGTCTTGGGCGGACTGATGCTGAGGTGAGAAGGGTTGGACCGGCTGAGGTATGTAGTAGTCTTGGGTGGACGGCTGCTGAGGTGGGGACGGCTGCTGAGGTGGGAAGGGCTGGGTGGACGGATGAGCGTGGGGACGGACCCGAGATCTTCTACCCCCACCAATGTTGGGGGTGGGATGATGCCTGGCGGCGTGTGACTGTGTCCTCATGGGGGGAATGTAGTCGTCCTGGGAGAAAACTTGACTGGACGGCCCCCCATGTGGAACACCCAGGCCCCCAACAGTCAGAGAGGAGTAGGCATAGTTGTACGACTGTTGGAAGTTGGGTTGCGCTTCTGGAGGGATTTGATGCACATATGGCTGCATATCCGATAATCCGCCATAAATCCCGTATAGTTCAGAAGTCTGTAATTAAAATTCATAATAATTAGTATCAAACAGCCAAAAAAAAAATACTAATAATAATAATAATAATAATAATAATAATAATAATAATAATAATAATAATAATAATAATAATAATAAACACAATTAATGAACATTTACCTGACAGCCTAATCGCTCGGCAAATGGCTGATACCCGCTCGTCTGTTGGAAGGCAGGGTGATTGATGAATCTACGAGTCCTGCAGTGAAACCATTCGAGGTAACCCTGCTCCGGCTGCAGATAGTCGTCCACAGGGGCAATTGGGAGGAGATGATTGTCTCTATCATCGTTCCACGAGGTCAGAAGAGGTCCATGGAATGTGGACCAATCATAAAATGTGCTCCCAGTCATCCCCTGCCCTCTGTGGTGTGCGTCCCACTGTCGCTCATCCCGAATGATCGGATCTTGGGGGATGGATTGGCGGCACCCAAATTGCCGGAGGACCCTATCAGGCATGTGTACCTCCCGGGTGCACCAACTGAAGATCCATCCCCGGTACGTCCAATATTGTCGATCGTCTGTGCACGCACTGGGGAGAGAACCATCGTCCAGGACATTTTGATAGGGCTGCCAATCGAACTTTAATAAAAAAGAACAATTGGATTAGTAATTAAGTTATTACAAAATTAAAAAAAAAAACAAAGATAAATCACAGAAAAATAAGAACGGTAAAAAGAAATAAACTAATTGAATTAAAAACATTACCTGATCCTCTCTCAGCCTTGTAAGCTGATCCCGGTAGGCGGACAGTGTAGTGGCTATGTTTGACTTAGATCTCGGTCCCACCCACCTTAAAAATCACAGAAAAAAAAAGTTTGTAATCATAAAATTTGATAATGAAAATAATGTACGGATTAAATAAAAATAAAAGTGATTACCTCCCTCCCAATGGACAATCAGGCACAGTATCAAACAAACTTTTTTTCTTCATCGTTGGGCGAATACGAGGGATATGCTCCCATGCCCAAACCTACACAAGTGGACATTAATTTTGTTATTAGGTATTAGTCGAAGTAAGAAAAATAAAATATTAAATTTTCAAATAATAATTAAATAAATTTACCTGGATCAATTGAACACAGTTCGTCAACCACTTCTGATTGGCCTCGTACGAGATCGCCAACGCTCTGTATACTCCTGCTAAGAGCGCTGAACCCCAGCTGTACCCCTGAATACCATCGAAGTCCTCTAGCAGCTGGAGCCAGTAAAGTGAGACGCCATCCGCCCGGTGGTCGGGGAAGATGAATGACCCAATGCACCACAAGATAAGGGCCCTCGCCCTCTGCTCGTACACGATATCCGGTTGTCCTTCTTGCAACTCAGTTTTGCAAGAGCGCTCCAAAGGCCCAATATTCAACCACTGGCCAGCAATTTCCCACGAGCTAGGGTCCTGTGCTGCTTGCTCTGCCTCTGTGGTGGGAGGATCCTGAGAGTGGTTTTTACATATTAAAAATGATAAATTGAGTTGACATATATTTTAAAAAAAAAAAAATTATGAAAAAATATACCTGAACGTAGGGCTCAAACCCTAGCAAGTTCTTGCACTTCTCTCGCCACTGTAAGGGTGATAGCTCTACAGTCACTCCCACAACAGCAGCTCCATTGATTGGCAGACCGAATAGGACTTGTACGTCCTGGAGCGTCATGGTGGCCTCGCCGAAATCGAAATGGAACGTATTTGTCTCTGGGCGCCACCTCTCCACGAGAGCAGTGAGGAGGGCGTTGTCGGCTTGGACTCGACCCATTCGAAACATGGGCCGAAACCAGTCCGGTCGATGGCCCTCCAAACAAACAGTGTCTGGTTTGGCACTGCCTTCCAGAACTGAGTGTCGAAACGACGGTTTCCGAGCGTCCTGTCACGAGCTCCCGGCACATTATGAAACACCGCCTC